ATTGAAAAAATGACATCTTAGCAAAACAAACCCAGCAAAGCCAGACATCCAAAACAGGTCCTAATGCACTGCAAACCAAAATAATAATCAGCCTGACTTAGAGTAGAATACTAACAAGGCTGTTTTCAGGAAAGAAGCAAGCAAAAGTATGACCAGAACATCTATGTTTCGTCCCCAAGACTTTTTCAAGTGAGGGAGGATGAGTCTATACATATATTTTTATATTCTGAAATTTGAACAGAAGCGCTGGAAGTTTCTGAGACATCCTTAAAGAGTGGGAACACACCAAAACCCCTTGTGTCCTTTCCAAACCTCTCACAAAGACAAATAGGAGTCTCATAAAACCCCCACGTAGTTCTGTAGGAGTTCATGAGTGAAATCACAATTTTGGTTCCCCTGCATTGAGAACAATGGAACTATGAAGCAGTTTCTTACATTTTGATCACTGAATTTAGTAGCCTAAATAGAAAATGGACTCTTCTAACAGAACATTTATGAAGATTAGCAAATCATAGGGTCCAATGAAGTCAGTCCATGTGTCCTTACTAACTGAAGTTGCAGTGAAACAGCAAATGGTTTTCTCTAGAGGCAGTTTAGTTGCATAAGCACAGAATATCTTTTTTTGTTGTTTTTAATCATGTTTTTCAATATTTATAACATAATTATCTCATTTAAAAACTTGACAGAAATCTGGTGTGAAGTATTCCCAGAAGTTTTTTCAAGATCTCAAAACTAAGTCTGCTGTCATGTGTCATCACTACAAGTTGCAAGTCTAACCTCAACCGTTCTGCATTTCTCACTGCCTTTTAAATATTCACAGAATTATAAATTTAGTTAGATCCTGATTACATTTTTATTATTTTCTTACAGCTTTTTCCTACTAGAAGCATTATAGGAATAGGGCTAACAAACTTATGCCTCCATTTCCAAATACACCAATTTAACTTCTTGCAGCACAATATTTTGCTAATGCGTGAGAGGAACTGTAGGTGCAGATGTACGAGGTAAACAAGTGTAGGAGGGAAAGGGCACTAAGTTAATTACAGAAGATATTTTAACCGAAGGAGAAACAGGATAAAGGAGAAATCACACACACTTAGATATCCAGTTGCTCAGTAATATGCACAGATAAGAGTAAAGTCTACGATTGTCACAAAGATTGCTGACAATGAACATTTTATTCTTTGTCAGTAAAAAGTTCTGAACAAGCAGTGCAGGGCAAAAATGCTGCCATAAGTACCAAACCTTGCCTACAACTGGGCACACCACTGCAGAACAATCTTATGAGTAGAGACATCAAGATAGAGACACCAAGAGAACTAACACATCCATTACAACTACAAAACAAATAAAACCATATCAAATCTCAAATATTTGTTTCCAAACTAAGACACTCCACATAAACCAGTGAAGACATGTTAGAAGCATGTAATTTGCTTTTAAAATAACATCTTCCCATTCATATTTTTCCTCAATAACTAGTCACCATGAAAAAAACACTTGCCTCTACAGATGTTACACCAGCACGTGAAAGAACACAGAACCATATGTTCCATGGTTCTTAGAAGAAACATGCCCTTAAATAGAGTGCAAAAGACCAAGAGGAAGCCAGCTTCCATCTAAGCAACAGTAAGTAGTTCACTACAAATTCTATATTTGCTCACAGAAGTTGTAGATGCCCCATCCCTGGAAGTGTTCAAGGCCAGGCCGGATGGGACTTTGATCATGCTGAACTAGTGGAAGGTGTCCCTGCCCATGGCAGCAGGGTTGTAACTAGGTGATATTTAAGGTCCCTTACAATGTACTCAGATGCCCTCGAGCTGTGTAGCTGATGCTCTGTTGTTAAAGGTTCACTCACCTCCTCTACTTCCAAATGGTTTCTTCAGAACGGTGTAGGCTGTGGTTGGCAAAAAAAAATGGCTTAAATTATGAACTCTTACAGACAACAGGCAACTGGGTAGGGAAAGAGGAATGCTTGAACTCTCAAGCTCAAGCCTGGTACTACCCAGCTGCAACTGGTATGTGCTGGTTTTAAATTCTATTAACATCTCAACTGAACAAAGATGACATCCTGAATCATACAACTAATAAAGAGATATAAAAGACACATGAAAAACAACAAGGTGCTTGGTGACAGCCATCATGGCTTCATTAAGGGGAAATACTGCCTGACCAATTTGGTGGCCTTCCATGGTGGGGCTACAGAACTGATGGACAGGGGTAAAGCAGCTGATGTCATCTACCTGGACTTGTGCAAAGCATTCGACACTGTCGCACATGACATCCTTGTCTCTAAATTGGAGAGACATCAACTTGATAGGTGGACCACTCAGTGGATAAAGAACTGGCTGGATGGCCGCACACAAAGAGTTGTGGTCAATGGCTCAATGTCCGGCTGGAGACCCGTAACGAATGGTGTCCCTCAGGGAACGGTGCTGGGACTGGTATTGTTCAACATCTTTGTCGCTGACATGGACAGCGGGATTGAGTGTGCCCTCAGCAAGTTTGCCAATGACACCAAGCTGTGTGGTTCAGTTGCACGCTGGAGGGAAGGAATGCCATCCAGAGGGACCTCGACATGCTTGTAAGATGGGCTAATGCCAACCTTATGAAGTTTAACTATGCCAAGTGCAAGGTCCTACACCTGGGTCGGAGCAATCCCAGGCACAGCTACAGGTTGGGCAGAGAAGAGATTCAGAGCAGCCCTGTGGAGGAAGACTTGGGGGTGTTGGTCGATGAGAAAATGAACATGAGCTGGCTTCAGTGTGCACTTGCAGCCCAGAAAGCCAACTGTATCCTGGGCTGCATCAAAAGGAGTGTGACCAGCAGGTCGAAGGAGGTGATCCTGCCCCTCTACTCTGCTCTTGTGAGACCTCACCTGGAGTATGGTGTGCAGTTCTGGTGTCCTCAACATAAAAAGGACATGGAGCTGTTGGAACAAGTCCAGAGAAGGGCCACAAGGATGATCAGGGGACTGGAGCACCTTCTGTATGAAGACAGGCTGAGAAAGTTGGGACTGTTCAGCCTGGAGAAGAGAAGGCTGTGCGGAGACCTCATAGCAGCCTCCCAGTATCTGAAGGGGGGCTATAGGGATGGCCCGGAGGGACTCTTCATTAGGGACTGTAGTGATAGGACAAGGGGTAACAGGTTAAAACTTAAACAGGGGAAGTTTAGATTGGTTATAAGGAAGAAATTCTTTCCTGTTAGGGTGGTGAGGCACTGGAATGGGTTGCCCAGGGAGGTTGTGAATGCTCCATCCCTGGTGGTGTTCAAGACCAGGTTGGACGAGGCCTTGGGTGATATGGTTTAGTGTGAGTTGTCCCTGCCTGTGGCAGGGGGGCTGGAACTAGATGATCTTAAGGTCCTTTCCAACCCTAACTATTCTATGATTCTATGACTCTATGATCTCCTGTCCCCAGACAGAGTTCCCGGGAGACACGGGGGATAGCTCCTCCTAACGTGTGTCACCCCAACTGCCACACAAGCAGTCCTTTTATAGCCACTGGGCATACATACATATTCATGAGGCTACGTATGGATTACATCATTTTCCAGAGAGTTCCTCACATGCGTACAGAATTGTGGTGGTGGTCTCTGAGGGTCGTTTACTTCCTCCAACAATCTTCATCACTTCTGGCAGCCTTTGAAGTATGTGCAGTAGATGCTCATACCAGTTTAATTGGTTCGTTAGCACCAGAGACATAATAATCCTCCTATCCTCCTACTTATCAGTTAGTTTAACTGTAGCCCATTCTGGACACCTGCAGTTCCCAGATACTCCTTATCCTGTGTCCTGTTCTTCAGGACTTTTTTTTTCTTAAAACTATGACAACTATAACGATTTATCTTGTGAGAATTCTCAGTATGTTCTCTAGCTGCACTCTATATTTTTTCTATGTATCATGCACCTCAGTAATTTTCCACTGCTACTGTTACAAAGCCTTCAAACTTAACATTACTTAAAACTAATTCTAAAGATTTCTATATTCCATTTTGTGATTTTGTGCCCCCCTCCTTTGTCTCAATGTGAACCACATTAATAACCACTTTTATAACATAAAGTTATAAAAAAAGACACTGAAACTGGACATTTCAAGAGAGAACACTGATCTGTGATATTTTCAGAATACCGCATTTCCTTGATTAAGGTTTCTCTTCCCCTCTTCCCCCCCCAGTCTTGCATTTACTCAACAAGCATAAAATGGACCTCTCCAGCTTATAATTGTATATATTACTAATATTTGCTCTTCACCTCCTATTTCAACTACATTTAGCCTGCAAACACACAAAAGGATAAGAATATTTAGGCCACTGTGTAAACAACAGTATTCTTCAAAGAACTAATGATCTTGAAATTATGCAGTCTCAAGTCTGAAACACTCAAATCAGATTCACACAAATCATTAAAATCTTTGCTCTGAACAGATGTTAACTACAGAAGTTTTTACATCTCTGTGATTCTAAACGTTACAAATACAGTGAAGACACATTTTATAATGTATTAAGTATCAAAAATTTATTTGTATCTGTGTTGTTTTTCATTCATTTGCTTAAGACATGATTTTGAATCAATAATGAGAAGAATTCATAATAACATTCACATACACAAAATCCAAATCAAATGGTGATAATATTTCACCTTAAAGGTCAAAATATGTTGCTTTCTAAGTGTAAAAATACTCCCAATTTGCCTATGATGGTACACTGTTCATTCAATCAGGTGTATTTCAGAAACACAGCAGCATGTTTCTTCAATTGACATTCCTACAGCTTTTTAAAACTCCCCAAATCATTTACAATTCCTATGTTGACCACTAATAAAAAATAAACAAATGAACTGAGTATTTGCCCTTGATTTATCATTTGGTCCCCATTTACTCACTAAGCTGTGTGAATGGAATGTGAAGTTAGGCTGAAGGAGCATGACTACCTATGCTGTGTGACAAAAATACAGTGTATGCTCAGGGCACTGTAATGGGAATTAATTGAAAAAGCCATACCTGTGGACATAAAGTCTCGATGTGATTAGCTGCCATTTGGACAATTTTCATTCCATCTTCATTTGTTGATAACGAACAAGCAAGATTAGCAACCTTAAATAAACAAACAGTTTTGTAAGTATTCATCCCCACACTCTGAAACTTGCCAAAAACACACAGTTTATGCACAAATAAAAGGGTTCTCTGTCAATCTCAGCAGGTGATCAGGCTAACAGCTCTTCCACCCAAAAGACAATCCAAGCAGTCATAAGCATGGTCGCCACCATCAGTACACTCACTGTCAGTATTTTCCTCCCCAGCTCCTGAAAATATCTCCTTAATGCAAACCCAAAACACAATAATCCAAATAAATCAAGTGGGAAGAGTCAAATGGGAATGTACATGTCCTGACATCTCTTTCAAAGCTGTAATGTTACTACTAAGGATAAGAAGCTGTTTCATCACTACTAAAGGTCCATAACCTATAAGGAAATTCATGCCCTAGCTGTAAGAAGATCTATCACCTAACTTTCCTTAAAGTATCATGTACATCTTGGAACATTCCTCAAATAGCAAAAATCCTTTATTACACTACAGTCTCTCCCTTAAGCATTGTAAGCTCCATCACATTTCTTTCATATCCTCCAAGAGAGTTACTAGCTTTCTTTAAAGGAACCTGAAGTCCAAGTATACTTCAACTTCAAAAATATTTAAAATTTTCAAATGAAGAGCCAGTGATTGCTCTCAGTCTGAAAATCATTCTCTTTCTGAAGAGCAGTGTTTGTCAGGACTGGTCTGATTGAAATCAGCCCCAACATAACTTTAAAACAAAAACATTTTTCAACTTTTTTTTTTTAACCACATGAGAAAGCTTATTTGTTCACCTTGTACTACTCAGTACAGCAGACCTATTTGTAATCATTCTCTTCAACCATTTCCAAGATACTATGAAAGCAGTAACACAGCTCTTCCTTGAAAACATTAACAACAGTGAACAAACCAGGATTTTTAACAACATGAATTAATACACTAATTAAGGTGCAGTGGGAAGAGCAAAACTTTGAACTGAGCCTGTAAGTGTAGTGTCTACAGTAGACAAAATACTCCATTAGCCTGATGTTTTTTTAGATTATTTGATGCCCATTTTGAAGAGTAAGACCTGTGCATACTAGATGCAATCAATAATTAGGAAAAAAAAAAAAAGAAAGAGAAACAACCCCCAGCTAACCATATTCCTCTATTCCTCTCACACATTACAACATTATATGGAGTGCGCATGTATATCTAGGGGAGTGCACAACTGGAAAAGCTTTTATCTGAAAATGTGTGCATTAACTTCTCCAATTCCTACTCTTTATCTAACAATCAAACGTAAAAGGGAGTAGTATATAGAGACTGTTTGAGATATATCATCTATGAACAAGCTTGCACAATTCTCAAAAATTCTTGAGATGGAAGGCTTTATACCTTCACTACGATCACACAAATGCACTCACACTATGTATCATAATGTCCTCTCCCTGATTGGAAGGTACATGCATTAAGAAACCCTCAGTTTCTTTCATCCTCAGATTTCCAGATGCTTTCCACTGGACATAACAAGGCTAAAGGGAAAAAAACATGTAGGAAAAAAAAAATAATCTTGGAGGTCCACCAGCTGCTCTCAGTGGATCTCCAGTAAGGTGTGCCAAGAAAGATTCTTCAGAAAGGCATGATAATTTGCAGCAGCCAACGCCCTAAAGCCATATATGGCTGGAGGTGATGAAGATAATGTAATATCCTTTCTGTAGGCAAAAGAAAAATGCTCCTAAACCATTAAGGGCCTCAGGACAAGTGGAAATTCACCTGCAAAGTGAATCTGCCTCTTCACTGTCAGAGGAACAAGAGGTGTTACCATATTCATTCTGCTGAAAAGAAAGAGGAAAGCACAATACTGTTGGTAAGAGTCCTTCAGGGAGGCATTCCAACCGTGACTCAAGGATGCATGAGAGTGGTTTAAGAATGAGCTGAGGTTCAGAGTTAACTCCAAGGTGAGAACATGTGCAAAGCCAAATGCAAAGTGAGATTTTTAGAGAGGAAGAATAAAAGCACTACATTGCCTCACCACCTGTTTCATTCTCAGGTAAGAACAGCTTTATTGGTCTAGTATTGTGTCATGGTTTAAGTCCAGTCAGTAACTCAGAACCACATAGCTCACTCTCTCACTCCCCCCCCCCCCTTCCTACCCCTGCTCCCAGAGGGATGGGGAGGAGAATCAAAAGAATGTAACTCCCATGGGTTGACGTAAGAACAGCCCAGTAACTAAGGTACAACACAAAACCACTACTGCTACCAGCAATAATAATAATGATAAGGGAAATCACAAGGGAAAAGAATACAACCGCTCACCACTCTCCAACCAATACCCAGCCTAACCCTTCCGGGTAACTGCCCCCAGTTTATATACTGGGATAGACGTGCCGTGGTATGGAATACCTCTTTGGTCAGTTTGGGTCAGGTGTCCTGTCTCTGCTTTCTCCCAGCTTTCCTTCCTCCCTGGCAGAGCATGAGACTCAGAAAGTCCTTGGTCAGAGTAAACATGACTTAGCGACAACTAAAAACATCAATGTTATTAGCACTGTTCCCAGTCTGAAAGTCAAAACACAGCACTGCACCAGCTACTAAGAAGGAGAAAAATGGCTGCTACTGCTGGACCCAGGACATACTGTTTGCCCACACTGCAAAATAAGGATTAAATGAACCCCGAGGGATTTTTTTTTTCAGTCAACTTTACTGCACTAACACCCAAAAATGAGTATTTTCTTGGGAATAGTCAGCCAACTACCTAAATTTCTCTTATATACATTGTACAAAACGAAGTAACACGTTATTAGGACATGGAACTGTTAAAGGACACGGAACTGTTAAATGACATGGACATGTTAGAGGATATGGAATTGGTGGAACAAGTCCAGAGGAGGGCCACAAGGATGATCAGGGGACTGGACCACCTCCCGTATGAAGACAGGCTGAGAAAGCCAGGGCTGTGTTTCAGCCTGGAGAAGAGAAGGCTGTGTGGAGAACTCATAGCAGCCTTCCAGTCTCTGAAGGGGGGCTATAGGGATGATGGGGAGGGACTCTTCATTAGGGACTGTAGTGATAGGACAAGGGGTAACAGGTTAAAACTTAAACAGGGGAAGTTTAGATTGGTTATAAGGAAGAAATTCTTTCCTGTTAGGGTGGTGAGGCACTGGAATGGGTTGCCTAGGGAGGCTGTGAATGCTCCATCCCTGGCAGTGTTCAAGGCCAGGTTGGACAGAGCCTTGGGTGGCATGGCTTAGTGTGAGTTGTACCTGCCCATGGCAGGGGGTGGTTAGAACTAGATGATCTTAAGGTATTTTCCAACCCTAACTATTCTATGATTAAGATGTGTTGCTCCTCGCTCCACCAAGAAGTGCTTAGTATCTTCCCCATTTTTTTCTGGACTCCTAACTCAATTATACTATAAATCACTTCTGTTTTCCCTTCTTGGTGAAGGCTTCCTATTCTTCATAGCTAAAACTTATTGCCAAGGAAACCCAAACACTACCCCAGTATGGCCAAGTCCATCACTAAACCATGTCAATGAGGGTCTCGTCTGCATGGTTTTTGAACACTTCCCTGGCCATGTAATAAAGATCAGAACCAAGCACAAGTACTTTTTTCTCTTGAGAACTCTAATCAGATACACTGTAAGCTTAATGTTGTCATGCTTTAAGCCCAGCCACGTAGCTCGCTCTCTCACTCCCCCCACCCTTCCTATCCCCCGCTCCCAGAGGGATGGGGAGGAGAGTCAAAAGAATGTAAGTCCAACAGGATGAGATAAGAACAGTCCAGTAACTAAGGTATAACACAAATAACTGCTGCTACCTCCAATAATAATAATGATAAGAGAAATAACAAGGGAAGAGAATACAACCACTCATCACCTGCTGACCTATACCCAGCCCGACCCTATCAGTGAACTAGCCCTTCCGGTTAACTGCCCTCAGTTCTACATCCTGGGCATGACGTGCTGTGGTATTGAATACCCCGTTGCCTAGTTTGAGTCAGATGTCCTGTCTTTGCTTCCTCCTGGCTTCCCCTCCTCCCTGGCAGAGTATGAGACTCAGAAAATCCTTGGTCAGAGTAAACATTACTTAGCAACAAATAAAAATACCGGTGTTATCAGCGTTGTTTCCAGGCCGAAAGTCAAAAACACAGCACTGCACCAACTACTAAGAAGGAGAAAAATGACTGCTACTGCTGAACCCAGGACAAATGTGCATATGAATTTACCAAGTCAGTGACATGACGACTCTAATGTATAAATTAAAAAGGCTGAAACTGAGATGAGGACCTTGCTTTGCCAAATGTTTCAAAGAAGGCAAAGCCTCAAAGACCTTGTGATCCATCAAACTTTAAGTGCCCAAGAGATGGGCAACAAATGCAAACAAAAGAATTGGGAAGGGGAAGAGCAGGGGAGAAAAAACGATGGCACAGTGATGATAGACATCATACTGCAACACAGACACAAATGCAATAAAGCAATCCATTAAGGTAGAAATTAATCCTGACTAATCACTGTTCAGAAGATATGTCATTTGTAGGAGCAGCTGAATTCTGGACTGATGAGTAACATTTTATTTTCAGCATTACAGCAGTCAACATGGCTTTGATATAAATTATATACTCTCTGAAAATTGATTTTAACTGTTAGTCTGCTCTCCTCCACTTATAAATGAAAAAAGGTGCTTATATATTCTTTGCTTCTAATTTAGTGGTATACTGAATTATCTTCTACAAGTTTATTATGTATTCTTAGCTTCGATCCCTAGCTCTATTCATGAAGCCTTAAAAAGTCTTTTGAGAAAAATGACTTTTCATATAAAAAAAAATGCCATGTAAAAACTAAAAGATCAGCAGTAAATCATAACTCTATATTTTTAAGAAAAAGGCTACACTGATGTATGTATGTATGTCTTCTAGCTGTTGCTGCATCTTTATATGAATTTATGATTACTGTGTGTATTTTTATGAGCTTAATAAAACTTACACAGACTGGAATATTTGTTTAGAGTGAAAAAAACATATTTCTGTAGACTGAAAACTTAGTC